GGTGAGGCCCGCTCGCGCCCCGCCCACCCGCCCAGACGCCCAACAGGTGCCTCCGGGCCCCTCCCGCAGCCGCAGGCTCCTCGGGTCGCCACAAAGTAGCCGCCCGCGCAACAGTGTCGAGGCCCGCCCGTACTCACGGCCGCTCCGCGGTCCGCGCCCCGGCCCGCAGCACCCATCCAGCCCGGGGCTCGGTCAGCGCGGGATAGGCTCTTAGGCGGCCCGGGTAGGGCCCGGGACTCGCTGCGGCCGTTGGCGCCTCCGCAGGGCGCGAGACATCCTCCCGCCGCCGCCCCGCGGGCCGCCTGCCCTTTGTTTTGGAGCCACGGCACCGCCGCGCCGCCGTTAACGGCCTCGGAACGCAGCGCGGACCAATCAGCGCGCCGCGCCGCCCGCGCCCCGCCCCACTCCCCGCCCCGCACGCGCGCCCCCGCCCAGCGCGCTCCGAGCCCGGGAGCTCTGCCGGCTCGCACCACAGGGCGCGCCGCGCTCCCATTGGCCAGTCCTACGAGTGCAACCTTGGAGCCAACCTGTGAAGGCCGAGGGGCACACGGGCGGGGTGCGAGGGTGGGCTCAGGAGAGCTCAGTGCGCAGGCGCGGGCGACCAGGGTTCGGGCGACCAGGGTTCGGGCGACCAGGGTTCGGGCTCCCGGCCGGAAGGTTTCTCTTAGGTTTTGGAGCGGGCGCTCTGGGAAGCCCGTGGGTCACTCAGACTTCCAGCTCGCGTGGATCGACCGAGAACACGCTGGGCCCATAGGTCCCGGGACCGACGCGGGGCACGCGTGTCCGCCGTGTGCGGGGTCAGGGTTTTCCTGGCCCGACCCTCCTCGACCTGGTCTCCAGAGTACGGGGTGTTGCGCGCTCGCCTACTCTGACTACCTTTCCTAAACTCTCCAAGCCGTTCTACCTGAGAACCACTGTATCTGTACCTGGCCCCTAGCTCTGCTCCGGAACCCCCATATTGGAACCGACGGAAAGCCCATTCTTGGGGGCAGCGCTCCCGGCCCCCAGGCAGCCCGCCCCTTCTCGGTGTCCACACTTGTCCCCCATGCCTCTCATGACATTGTTTTGTTGGTCCCACAGCCTTTCTCTGTAGCGTGGTTCTTAAGTTATGTAATTTTTTAAAAACCCACACTGTTGAGGTCACAGTGTATATAACATCTTGATACATGTTAGCATCCTTTAAATCTTGTTTCTTTTTTGCAATGCAATGTATCTGTAAAGACCTCTATGTGTCTTTGGGTGTACACCTGATTTATTGCTTAGAAAGCTGCTGGATATCGCCTTTTAAACATTTGTGGGAATTCAGCCTCTCTCCTAGCGATGTCTCCAGCTCCCTGCTTCCACAAACCTGACTGCAAAATAAGACCTCATGATCATTTAAGATGCCTTTNGGGGTCTCCCTGTCGCTGGCATGCTGGTGGACAGAGCATCAGGGGAGTAGGGGAAGAAAACAGCTCAAAAAGATGCAGAGCATGCTCATGCGCCCTGCTGTGTCCAGCCAGAGTTCATGGAGAAGGCAGAATCCCAGGAGGGTGGCATGTGCGGGGACATCAACGTACATCACAGAAAAAGAAATGCAACAGCTCCTGCAGAGCCTCACAGCTGAGGCCAGAACTATTCTAAGCAGCTGGTTCTATGAAAATCAAATGAATTAATAGCAGCCCTAAGAAATGAGTGTTCTTATTAGTCCCACTGTGCAAACAGGGAAATTGAAGCCCAGAGAGGTTAATCAATTTGCCAAGGTTGCACAGCTGAGAAGCTGGGTTTGAAGCCAGGCAGTCTACACCTTGGACCACTGTGCCTGTAGACAGGTGGACAGATGTGAACTTTACTCATTGATGCAAATTAAAGGCACACTGATATTTGCCTTACAACCTAGCTGGTTGGCAAAGATTTTCAGAAAGTTGATAACACCACTTGCCGTGATGCAGCCATTTGGCAACACCCATCAGTGCTGCCAGGTACACACCCCTGGACCGAGGATCCATCTCAGGCCTTTTCCTCCAGACTGACTTGCACATGTGCAAATAACTGGTGTTACAATGTTGTTTATAATAACGAAAGATTAGAAATCACAAGTCAAACCCAGAGACTGGCCAAACATCCTGATACATGAATCAGAAATAATTCCCCGAGGGGGGTGGGGGTGACCTGTTAGCTCAGTTGGTTAGAGCATGATGCGGATAACATCAAGGTTGCCGGTTCGATCCCCGCATGCACCACTGTGAGTTGCCCCCTCCTTAAAAGAGTCAACTATGCCATTGTAGCATGAAAGCAATGTGTAACCAATGACCATGGCTGTTCCCCAATAAAATTTAAAAAAAAAAAAAAAGAAAAGAAAGAAAGAAATAGTTCCAAGGTGGGACCTCAGGCTGGGGCTAGGAAGGACAGAGAAGGTGACTTCCTTTTCACTGTCTGCTTTTTTTGCAACTTTTGATTTTGATATCAAATGTATGTACTGACGATTCAAACTCTCACACCCAGCATATACACACACAGGCGTGGAAAGGCCTAGAAGGATTTACATCAAAGTGTGACAGTATAGGTACAATTTGCCTTTGGCAGTACCAGCTTCCCTTCACACACACAGACTTCCTTCCTACTTGAATTACAGGATGAAAAGCTTTTCCCCACATTTCAGGAACTGCAACCTTGATGAACCAGTGGATCTACTAGGAGGGGCAAGAAGACACCTTCAGTCCTACCACCTACATGGCTGTCCTCAGACAGTCTCCTCAGCCCTCTGGAGAACCGGAGGGGGTCTGGGCTCCTGCATTGCCCAGTGGTCAGGACGCCTCTGCCCTCCAGGCTCTCATCCTGCCTGTGCTCAGGTCCTGCCTCCACGGCTCCCTTGAGACTACTGATTAATGAGTTTGCACTGAGACTTTCTTTGTGAAGAACTTTTAATACAGTCTTCTTTATTTCTCCCACTAGTAACAAAGTTTCCCAGTGTGGCCCTGGGGTGCATTCTAGCACAGGCTGCTTGCTTTCTTGCTATCAAGAAGTGGACAGATGCAGGAACTACACATAACAAGGTTGGCCTTCTTGTCAGTTGCCAGGGTGGGACTAGACCTAGGAGGCTGGACTGCAGCAGGAGGAAAGAGATTGGGAATCTTAAACTATTAGTCACACGCTAAATAGAACAAACACTCAAAGCATTGTGTTGGGTGGGGCAAGGGAAGGGAAAAACCTGAAACAAGAGGAAACAGAAAGGGGGCCAGTGCTCAGGGGAGAGGGTGATGATGCTGGGAATACAGGTGGCATTGTGACATTTGGCAAGAGATGGACTGCCAGCAGTGGGGGTTGGATGAGGCGGAAAGAAGGCTCGACTCAAACTGTGCCACGAATTTGGTGGCTAAGCTGTCTTATTTGTAAAACGGGGGTAATACACAATTCACAAGGCGGCCCAGAGAATCACAGAAGAGGTCATGTCACTGTTACAGTACAGCAGAGAGTAAGCACCTCACAAAACCCACAGGGAATCCTGGTCATGGTTCTGAGGCTCAGCAGGTGCCAGAGCAGGAGTCCCCTCCCGGGGCATTGGAAGACAGTGGGTTGGCTCTATGATTTCCATTTTAGTCTCAGCAGTAGATACGTTTTCCGCATGCAATGCCTTTGTCTCTGTCACAATGTCAGAGGCAGGTCAATTCCATCTTATCCTCTTGACTTCTTTCCGGAAACCTACTCACACTGCCCTCCCCAGAACTCTTAGCCCTCCAGTGACTTGGCTATTCAGAACTTTCTCCAACCTCTGATGAAATCTCTTGTCCAAATTCCCCCTCCCTAGAGATTTTGGTGATTAGCAAATCTAACTACTTTTCTAAAAATTTTAAACCAAATCTCAAATGAACTGTCAGAGAATGGTTTTAAAGCAGGAGGACTTCTATTGCTGCTTTATATTTTAAATTATTTTCCCTTTATCAGTCGTCCAGGGATAAAAATACATTAAAACTACATAGCAGCCCCTGCCCTCTGCATTCCCACCCCTGTCCCTTGACACAGGGTCCCCGTGGAACTTAGTAAAGACAGGCAGAATCAAAGACAGACATTACAGGAACACCACTCTCAATGTAAAGAAAGAGCTTTACAAATTTTAGTCCTTCAAAACGGAAAGTCTTAATGTCTGGAAGTTAGTTAAAGGAATGTACCCATGTCAGCTGTTAATTCTGCCAAATGCACCATAGCAATGTAGGATGGTAACAATGGAGGAACACTGGGTATAGAGCATTTGGGACCGTCTGTACTATCTTTGCAACTTTTATGTAAATCTAAAGTTATTCCGAAATAAGAACTTCATTTAAAAAGCAGAAAGATGGCCGGCCGAGTGCCGCGTTGGTTAAGAGCTGGCTTGGGATGCCAGAGGGCCCTGGTTCGGATCCCACATATGAGGGCCAGTGACACTGTCCTCTACAGCTAAGATGCTGAACAACAGCTCAGCCTGGAGCTGGGCTGCCATGACGACGGCATAGGCTGGCGAGGGCATAGGCT